AGTTATTTCCAGATAAGTTCCTTGTCCACTCCTAGCCCAGACCAGAATTCCAACATGTAACTCTTCTAGTCATAGTAGAAGTAGCAATTTCCAGGCTTTATTCTGTGGCTATTCCCAACATCTGGGTTTAAAATACTCACCTTAGAGCCTCTTAACCTCAACTACCATTGTACCACTTTGAAATCTGCCTCCAAAAAATGTCCAAACTAGCCATTTCCTTACCTGTCATACAATGTGGCTATCTGCTCATATCATATTCAGTCTCTTTTCAAGCTTTCTTTACAATTTTTTTCTAAAAATGCTTCTTTATATCACCCAGAAGCACAGAGCTACATATACTTTGTTGTTCTTATCATCATATTAATTGAAATATTCGTATAAATACATTAAAACAAAAACCAAGTCAGATGCGATGGCTCATGCCTATAATCCTAGCACTTTGGGAGGTAGAACAGAGAGGATTGCCTGAGCCCAGGGCTTCAAGACCAGCCTATGCAACTTGGTGAGGCCTTGTCTCTACAATAAATCAAGAAAAGTTAGCCAAGCATGGTAGCACATGCCTGTAGTTCCAACTGCTTGAAAGGCTGAAGTGGAAGGATTACCTGAGCCCAGCTGGTCGAGGCTGTGGTAGCTCTGAGTGTGCCACTGCACTCAAGCCTGGGTGACAAAGTGAGACTCCAACTCAAAAAAACCCCCCCAAAAAACTTAAACCCAGTTATATTTTAATTATTCTAGCCTTAAACTAGAATTCGTCACAACCTGTATACAAATTTTATGTGAGTAGAGGGAATAATGTCATTTTGTACAAGAAGAGAGGTAGTAGTAGAAAGAATGGAATTTTGTCACTTATTCCTACACTTAGCTTCTTTTACTAAAACTGCATGAAAGCATGTGTCAAGAAAACTCAGAGCATGATTGTCCTGGGACTTGACAGAGGGTCTGTACTTCATCATTCAGGGCAGTTCACATCTGAGAATTACTGTCAGAAAACTATCTTTGTGCTGTCTCCCTTCTTTCTCAGAGACATATGCTTTGGAAGAGACATTTGGATGGTATAAAGTTTCTAATCAAGTGGAAGTTCTAGAAATAGAACACTTCAAAGTGCAGTCCATATTTCTTTCTCTGATGTATTCAATTCTATAAGATTTAAACTTTTTCTGTCTGGAATCTGGTACCAGTTTTCTTCTCCCTCGAAGAAAAGCTGCAACTCTTTAAACATATGTAGAAATTCACTTTGACTAAAAAATGTCTGAGGAGAGAGCAGCTGATCTTCAAGGTAGGAAATGTATTTGTCAAGTGTTTTTATACCTCCTATAGGGTAACACTGAACTATTTACAACTTCCTCCTTCCTTCTACAATCAAGTCAGACAGGCATTAAAGACAAACACAGTCTCAAAAAAGAAGGCCCAATAGAAAGCTTGGATTTTTCTTTTCTTCAAAACTGTCTTGACTTGTCCCTTCAGGCTTGCTGGAATCTGGCTACTTTAGGGTTATGTATAGTAGATGGCATACAGGATAACTTGGAGCTTCTGCCATTAGACACTTTTTAAAAATGTGCTGAGGTTAACTATTTGTTCTTTAATGTAAAGAAAGATGTATCTGAAAGGTTTTGTTGATTTGAAAGGTATATTCATCATATTCCAGGAACAGCTTACATTTTCCCATATTTTCATCCTTAAATAAAAAGTTCCAAATTAAGGAATCATACTCTCATAGTTGTCAATGCAATTTATCCCTGACAAGTTACCAAAAATATGGGCTTAGCTGTAATGTTTTAGTTGCAAATAACTTTTCACTTGTACAGGGAAAATCTTTTCCCAGGCTTCTCTGACTCAGTGAGATATGGAAATCAAATTGGTACCTTACGAAAAGATTAAAGTTGACAATGTCCTCACCTTTAGATTTAGGAGGTAAATGTTTTAGACCTGGAAAAAAAATTAGCACCTGACTGGTGCAAATAAGGAAAGAACTCCAGAGTAAAGAGAACAATCCAGACACTCCCTTGGTGTTTATTTATGGGTTGAGTTTGACCCCTCCCATTATTGTCTGTTACCTGACCTTTAGGTTTGATCTTTTTTTTTTCTTCAGTCTTTTTAGAGCATGACTCTATTATCTGAAGATCTAATAGAATCCTAGCCAGACCCAATTCTATTAGCCTAACAGTATGAGGAATTTAGATTAAACATACTCACTTCATGGGCTTTTACCCATGTTTCCTATCCTCCAGTTCATCTTCTGAAATGAATATAACCACAACAGAAATTTGAGAAGACTACCTGAGGCTGGAGAAAGTACCACCAGAAAAGAGCAGAAGGAACAATCTTCAGAGTACCAACCCCAGCAAAGTAAAATTTACAATGTGTGGCATTCAAGAAAAGTTGCCAGGCCTGCAAAGTAGCAGGAAAACATGAACAACAATGAGAAGAAAAATTAATCAATAGAACCAGATCAAGAATTACACAGAGCCAGGCTCAGTGGCTCAGCCTGTAATCCCAGCGCTTTGGGAGAATGAGGTGAGTGGATTGCCTGAGCCTGTGGGTTTGAGACCCGCCTGGGCAACTTGGCGAGACCTCATCTCTACAATAAATCAAAAATTAGCCGGGCGTGGTAGCGCATGTCTGTAGTTCCAGCTACTTGTAAGGCTGAGGCAGAAGGATTGCCAGAACCCAGCAGGCCGAGGCTGCAGTGGCCGGGAGTGGCCACTGCACTCCAGTCTGGGTGACAGAGTGAGACTACAACTCAAAAAAAAAAAAAAAAAAAATTACACAGAAGATCAGGCTCAGTGGCTCATCCTGTAATCCCGCACTTTGGGAGGCCGAGGTGAGTGAATTGCCTGAGCCCATTCGAGACCCACCTGGGCAATTTGGTGAGACCTTGTCTCTACAATAAATAAAAAAAATTAGCCAGGTGTGGTAGCGCACACTGTAGTTCCGGCTACTTGGAAGGCTGAGGCAGAAGGATCGCTGGAGCCCAGCAGGTCAAGGCTGCGGGAGCATGCCACTGCACTCCAATCTGGGCGACAGAGTGAGACTCCAACTTAAAAAAAAAAAGAATTACACAGAAGATAAAGTTAGTGAACAAAGACATTAAAAATGTATTAATTGTATTCCATAAGCTCAAGAAGCTAAAGGAAATGTTGAAAATGTTAAGTAGAGATTGGAAGTTATTTTTAAAGACTGAAATCTAACTTCTAGAAATGAAAAATACACCGGATGAGATTAACAGCAAATTAGATATTGACATAGAAAAGACTAAAGAGGCCAGGTGCAGTGTCACACATCTACAGTACCAGCATTTTGGGAAACTGAGGCAGGCATATCATTAAAGACCAGCAGTTTGAGACCAGCCTGGACAGCATAGCAAGACCCTGTCTAAAAAATAAATTAAAAAATAAGTATAGGCTGGGCTCAGTGGCTCAGCCTGTAATCCCAGCACTTTGGGAGGCTGAGGCAAGTAGATTGCCTGAGCCCATGGGTTCGAGACCAGCCCAGGCAACTTGTTGAGACCTCATCTCTACAAGAAATCAAAAATTAGCCAGGCGTGGTAGCATGCACATACAGTTCCAACTACTTGGAAGGCTGAGGCAGAAGGATGACTGGAGCTTGCTGGGGTGCCCATGAGTGTGTCACTGTACTCCAGCCTGGGCAACAGAGTGAGACTCCAACTCAAATAAATAAATAAAAATTTTTTAAAAAGAAAAGACTAAAGAACTTGGAGACATAGCAGTAGAAACAATACAAAATGAAGTACATAGAGAAAAAAGACTTAGAAACAAATAAGTCCATCTGTGGGACAACGTCAGGGGGCCTAAAATATGGGTAATTAGAGATCCCAAAGGATAGGGGAGAGTACACAAAAAATATTTGAGGAAATAATGAGAAAAAAATTTTTAAATTTGATGAAAATTATAAACTCATAGATCCAAGAAGTTCAGCAAACCCTAAACACAAGAAGCATGAAGAAATCAATACCAAGGATCATCATAAACAATTTACTTAAAAGTAGTCTTAAAGAGAAAATCATCCTCATCTTCACTGCCCTTAGTAAAGCCTTCTTCATTTCTTAGTTGGACTTTCATAACCTACAGTTCATTTGCCTACCTCTAATTCTATTCCCCACCAGTCCTCTCCTCTTACCATTATTCTTCACTGCCTGCTGAATAAAATTCAAGTCTCTTAGTATGGAAAATAAGGCTATTTTAGCATGGCAGGTCTTACCTTTTCTCCCTCTCCAACCTCAGCATCCTAGCTCCCACAACTGCTCTCTGTCTTCTAGCCACATGGAACTACTTGTGGGAAGAACTGAACTATCTCTGGCTTCTGTACCTTTACATGTGCTATTATCTCTCTCTGGAAATGCCCTTCCCATCCTTGGTTTATTAATCTGTGGCTCCCATTAAGCTCCTGGAAGACAGGGACTCTCTTTCTTCTCTACAGTGCCTGCTCACTGTATATTTTTCAGTGAATGAAATTATCATTTAAAAATATTTTTATTTATTAACAGCCCAATGGTCTGGAAACTCTGTTGCGTATACCCATACATCAAGACTGAAGAGAAACTGTCTTTATTTTCAGAAGCCAGAAAAGTTGTTTTTTTTGTTTGTTTGTTTTTTTGAGTAGGGTCTCATTCTGTTGCCCACGCTGGTGTGCAGTGGCATGATCATAGCTCACCACAGCCTTGACCTCCTGGGCTAAGGTGATCCTTCCATTTCAGCCTCCTGAGCAGCTAGGACTACAGGCACACACCACCAAACCCAGCTAATTTTTTTTTTTTTTTGTAGAAATGAGATTTAGCTACATTGGCCAGGCTGATCTCAAACTCTTGGACTCAGGCAGTCCTCCCACCTCAGCCCCCCAAAGTGCTAGGATTGCAGGTGTGAGCCACCACACCCAATCAAGTTGCTGCTCAACACAACGTTTTACTGGTTGTTGACACATTTGTCTTTGGCTTGGCTTAATTTTCAGCTGGAGCTTAAGAAGCTGAATGTGGGTGCCAAATACAATGGCCAAGAACAAATTCCTAGAGCAGCAGACCAGGATTATAAGTGTACTTCAGATGGCCGGCCAAAAACACTTTAAACCTAAAAACAAAGCAAAACCAGTTACCACTGATCTTAAAAAGAGAAATATTATAAATGAAGAAAAAGTTAACAGAGTGAATACAGAGCTTGTAAATATACAAAAAGAACTAGCACTCTTCTCAAATGGCCTTTCTCTTGAACCTCAGCAGAAAGAACTGATTCCTCAGCAGTGTCATGAAAGCAAACCAGTTAACGTTGATGAAGCTACAAGATGAATGGCTCAGTTGTAATACAGTGGTGATGCATCTAATTCCTCAAAAAGCCAATAAATTAAATGTTTCATACAAAAAAAATAGGTCTATTAAAATAGTATCATTTAGCACCAATAATCCTCACTAATATACCTGAGAATGGCTATTTTCTAGATTTTTAAAATATGCAACAAGTTATTTTATGAGTGAGCATCCAGCATATTCTATTACTACAAGAAATTGCCAAAAAAGAATTGATGATTTCCAAAAAAGAAAACCACTCAGAGTGTTTATATACTGCCTGCAAAGTATTAGGAATATTTTTTACACATACTCAGGATTGTCTATATAGGGTAACCTGCCCTATATGCAGAAACTGGTAGCCCATTCACTACCAATAGACTCATAGAAGATGCCCATGTGTAGGGAGAAGGGGGACTAGGGCTTTATAAAGTAATAAAGTTATTGTTTAAGACCAATTGTATGGGTTAATTAACTCATAATTAAACTAACTGGATTAGGATTCATAGTATGTTATTTTATTCATTTTTTAAATCCCAAATCCAGCTTTATTTTTCTGCACACAAGAGAGTTTGAGAACACCTATAAACTAGTCCTAATTTCATTCGTTAATTTATTCAGAAGCCCTCGCCACATACCAGTCACCATGCCCGGTGCTAGAAATATAGAGATAAGTAAAATAATCCCTACTCTTAGGGAAGTACTAATCAGGTTCCTAGTAAAGTGGGGCCAGAGAAGGTATATGTCCTTATGAAAATACTCTACAAACCGGGCTCGGTGGCACAGACTGTAATTCCAGTGCTTTGGGAGGCTGAGGTGAGTGGATTGCCTGAGCCTGCGGGTTCGAGACCCGCCTGGGCAACTTGGCGAGACCTCATCTCTACAATAAATCAAAAATTAGCCAGGTGTGGTAGCACAAGCCTGTAGTTCCAGCTACTTGGAAGGCTGAGGGGGAAGGATCGCCGGAGCCCAGCAGGTCGAGGCTGCGGTGACCAGGAGTGTGCCACTGCACTCCAGTCTGGGCGACAGAGTGAGACTCCAACTCAAAAAAGAAAGAAAGAAAGAAAGAAAATACTCTACAGATTTTAAGGGCCAGATATCACAGCCCACCCTATACACCCTGATTCTGACAGGAATATGCTATACATGTAGACTACTGGAAGTGAAGATATTGGAGACCCACTCACTGGTAGTGGAAGAGTTCAACATGTTAACCCAAAATTATAATGTGGTAAGCACCTTAATAAACACATAAAAGGTATCAAGTTTATGTAATATTAGTCAGAAAATGTCTGATAAGGAGTTGAAGGTATGCGTTTTGAAAGAGGTCTCAAACTCTGGAGATAAGGGTCTTCAAATTTAAGAGTCTTCAATTTATATATGGGAATTGAGGCACTGTGAGTGGGTGAGCTCATCTGAGGAGACTACATGAAATGGGAAGAAAATAATGAAGTTATTGTTACCGTCATCATCATCCCAACATTTATTGCACAATTTTTTTTTAGGTTAGAAAATATAGTTCATTTAGAAAGTAAAATTGAGAGAAAAAGAGATTTACCTCCCCAAGCTAGGGGAGGGGGCCAACGCTTAAGAAAACATGGCCTGACCATAGCTCAAAGAGCACATGGCCACACCATAGCTTAGCAAGGCAGTGGTCCCACAATTTTTACTATATACCATATATAGTGCTAAGTACTTTATATGCCTTATTTCATTTAACCTTTAAAACTGGAAACTTTAGCAACACTAACATTTTAGGAGACTGGAAAGTGAAGATGCTCTGTCAAGTAGGTCTAAAAAGGGAGCCATTAGAGAAACACAAGAATGAGGAGGGAGTTATGTTCTAAAAGTCAAGGCAGGTCAGCAGTGCCATACGCAGCAAAGACACCAAAGGAAATAAGGAGCTACTGGCTTGGTAATTCAGTGGTTGAAGGTGAGCTTATGTAAAACATGTTCAAAAGCGTGGTAAGGGAGGGATCAGAGACATATTACAAAGGGTTGAGGAAAAAGTGGGATGTGCACATAGAAAAGAAAATAGAGTGGAACATGGGAGGGGAGAAAAGAACAAACAGAGAAGAACAATAGGGAGGACCAGACTGAAGAAGGGCTCAGCCAAAGTGCTTTCTTTCCACAAAGAAGACAAGTACAGAAGAGAGGAAAGATGGGACAGGGACTCCTTTTTTAGTGAGTCAAAAGAAAGAAGCAGAAGAGACAGATCTTAGGGGAGTTTACCTCTGGGGCTTCTGTATCATTCTTCAGGGTCGTCTGCTGCTGACAGGGTCAGTGGGGGCTGGAGAAGAATGGTAAAGGTTGGGACACAGAACAGACTAAAGTATTCAAAAGAGCGTACTCTGATGTTCTGAAGATTACCTGCTGACAACCTTAAACCAGAGCTGAAAAGCAGGACAGAATGTATCATAATGGCTCCTCCTTTCCGTTTATTTTTTTTAAAAAAAACCATATGCCCAGATTCTAGGCAGATCACTGCCTTTGATTTTGAGTATCGGATTTTCTCTGTAGAGAGGAACTGGAAAAGAGAAGAATAAAGGAGGAAGGCGTGCTGAAAAGCAGATCATACACACTATGAACGTGCATCAAAGATCATTAAAATAGCCTCCCCAAATCACACACTTGGCTTAAACCTAAAGGTTTCTGACATGTACATTCTAATGTGTCAACTGACAAATTTCTTGGAAATGTAACTACCTATGGAGCAGTGGGAAAGATCTATAGCTAACATATTCAGTTATTCTTGGAGGGAAGGGAGGTTGCTCCAGGGCGTGTTATTTTAAATTCAAAGCAAAATGTCTAACAGAACAACAAGTAACTATCTGTAATGAAGATCATGTGTATTTCAAAGTTCCACTTGAAATAAAACTGACCTTCTATTACAGTATTTCTCAGAGAGGATCTGAAAAGCAACCATATCGGGGGGGGGGGGAAGGTTGA